TCATCGAGAATTTCTCGAATAAGTCGTTGCTCAGTAATAATATCTTTTCCATCGGTTGTATAAATTACATTTAACAAACCTTCTTTAACTAGAAGACCAATTAATTCAACACAATTTCGTTCGGATAATCTAAACGGAATAACACAATACAGTCATCTTGTATCTTTTAACATATTCACATACTTGTTAGCTGTTTCTGTTAATTGTAAATTAAGAAAATCAGCTCGTAGATTACGAATTTCATCCCATGTGACATCAGCCATAATTTATTATTTGCACGTAAAAAATAAATAATAATATACTGAAACGTATGTAATGCAATGTAATAATAAGATAAACTAGCTAGCGAATAGGCAAATTCTCAGCAACCAATCATCGTTTTTAACGATAATAGCTTCGGACAGAGAGCGCTCGAGTTTGTAAAATAAATCCTTTATCATTATTTTTTTCTAACAAAAATAATTTTCAGTCTATCTGCATTTAGATATTTTTATTTCTTTTGTTTTTCAGCATCTAGATTAATTCTATTACCGAGTCGTTCTATTCATTCACCTATTTGTTTCCAAGATAGTAAGCATAACGGATGGTACTAAGATTCTGATCTAGTACCATAATTAAATGTTCGATAGAGATTTACTCTTTTTTAGCAAAAGCAAATCGTCTAGTGTGAATATAACTTTGCAGCGGTAAAAAGACTATTGAGCCCTCTAACAAATGATAATATTGAACATTTTTTTTGATTTAATGATTTTCAATCTGGTCATTTGTTATATACTCTCTCATTTTAACACTAAGAAAGTTCTTATTTTAGAAGATTTCTAACCTTTTTGAAAAACCTTTCAATTAAGTTCATGAGGCGTGGGTGTGGATGCTGTGTGTTACATGCCATTTACTCTACCCACACCCAGTTAACTTGTATTTTCTCGTGTTGAGTACTCAGCAAAGACAAAATGTTTAATTGAGTTCTCTATTTTTTTATGTAGACAGCATAGAAAATAACTTAATTAGGTTTTTATCTTTCTACCCTGAAAGCAGAAAAGATAATTTCTTCAGTTTTTTACTTTTTTACATTCAGAACACAGAAAACTGTAAACTCCATTTTTCATGGCTTTATATTGATAATGTTAATGTTCTTCACTGTAATTTCTCTCCGTCAAACATTTTCTTTCTTCTAAACTGACGGGGAATGGCGTCTTTTTTTTATCGGCTTCTGTCATTTTATGCCGGTTCAGGGCGCTCAAACTCTGAATCATTTCACTTCGGTATGGAGAAAATAGAAAATGCATAGTTAAGTTCTTGTGTTCACTATCGAGACAACGTTGAAAGTGATTCCATTTCTTTTTCATGTTTTTATATCGGGGTAAAGAAGAGCATTCCATTTGGTTTTGGTTTTTCTGTATACAGAATCCAGCAAATTTTAAACTGCATTTTTCATTTTTCTATTTTGATCATGTAGAAAATCTCAACCCCAAGTTCTCTGTTCTCTCTGTTAACAGCATAGAAAATCTTAATTGGTGTATTCGCGTTTCTTTTAAGGTGGTGTAGGAGATTCTAAGTTTCTTTGTTATGGCGTGTTTATGATGCGAAAATTTTCGTTTTCATGAAGGGGAATGCGGTTGTGAGAAATAAATAATGAATGCTTTTTTGAATGAAGATTCGGTTATCGTTACAGAAAATAGATTATTTTCGAGTAGTATGGCAATTGGCTGAGACATCTGGCGTTTGGGTTGTTAGAGGAGATTTATGTAGTTATATGTAGTTGAATTGTAGTTGTAGTGTAATTGTCAGAAGATGGTAGGGTTTTTAATAGTGTATGTTTCTGAATTCATCGTATGAAATCTTAGTGTATGGTTTTTTAGAATCATATAAGAGAATGATGTCGCAGTATATAAGAAACTATTGGAACGAGTTTCCACCAGATTTCAGAGGCGACGATTTTTTGTATGATTTTTCTCATGATCTTGCATGTGCATATATGTTACTGACGTAGGAACCCAGATCATGACAAATTTCTCTTTTCAGGAACTCAGGTCGACTGATCCGATATTGGATCCGATAGGAACCTGGAAATATCCTACAATCCGATACAATCCTATTGGATTCCTCAACTCGGAATCCAACGATAATTCTGTAAGATCTGACAGGATCCGATAAAATCATATTGGATTCCAGTCGGATCGGATGGGTTTCGGTAGGTGCCTACTGTCGGATTGCTCGACCTGGGAAATTCAAATAATTTAACTTTGATGAAACTTTCCAGAAATTTAAAACTTCTAACCTACTTTCATTTGAATTTCCATTTGACTATCTATAATTCTTTGGGTTGGGTTGAATGAGGAAATTCATTTGAATTTTTAAGTGACTTTCAGCACGAACAAATATGGATTCTCAGTGGAAAATTCAAATGAATTTCCTCACCCAACGCAACCCAAAGAATTATAAATAGTCACTTGGAAATTCAAATAAAAATCAGTTAGAAATTTGAATTTCCTGGAAATAGGAATTTACCATGCCCTCTATAGAGCATCCAATTACCTACGTAATGCTAAAAAATTCCAGCTTCGTGACTTTACCCTTTCCTGGACTATTGCTAAAATGCGCACAACCACTATTTTGTTGAACAAGCTTTAATTAATGCGTTTGTTTAATTATAAAGAGGATTCTTTATACGGCGCGCTGTTATTAAACCTGTTAGACAACATCATTCTGTGACTTTTTTACAGTACAACTAGCCGAACTTTCGCAAAGTTAGTTTCGAGATAAATAAAATACTACAGTTAAAACGAATAAAAAGCAGGAAATTCTAATGAATAATAACTAATACTATAATTCTTTGTTCTAGTTTTTTTTAAACAAAATTTAAAAGTAATGGCTGGAAGACTAGCGGCGAAACGAAAGCGCACAGGTAAATCAAGTGAAACGCTTTTGAGGAGAATAGATGACACTGCTTCATCTTTTAGAATACACAGAAAATGAATGGAGCACTGAAAATTTATTAAAATGTTTTCAATCAAAAGAAAGTTTAGATGATTTACATACACATCTGTTGGGTATGGGTAACGCGAAGTTCTGGATCGAAAACATTTTAACTGATCGAAGGAAGTTACCTACTCAAAACAATTTTATTAACAGTGACTCTTTAAGGCGTCAATTAGGACCATTAATTTGGGATGAAGATATGCGGCAATTCAATGATCCAGAAAACGTAATGGATCTTTTTGATGGGCTACGTTCATCAGGTAATTTCAAACATTCATTTTATGAGAACTTGACAACACCGGAGTTCAAGCAAAAGAAGGAACATCATGGGTTAAGTTTTCAGAACAACTTTTCATATGATGTTGTCTTTTCATTGGATAATCTGGTTAAAGGACTCGGATTGAATAAAAAAGAGCCAAGGGAAATTAATCAAGGTAAAGTGGAAGAAAAATTAGGTATCTATACAAGAAGTGATTGGGAAAAACGTGATTTTTTCAAGAACTGGATCATATTTAATGCACGATATCAAAAGCTACAAGTAATATATGGTATAAAAGCTGAACATCTGCGTATGCTTATTGGCGGGGAAAAAACAATGGAAAAAATAACTGATCTAGTGCAACAGAATGCACGAGCACATATCATAAATGCTTTTTCAATGATGAATGCCGATGGTAGCGAGCCACGTTCAGTAGACTTTCATTCGTTTCGTGGTGCATTTACTCCGGAATTCTACCCTAGACGATTTGCTTTAAAAGACTCATTATATGAGCAACGACTTGACTTGTTAGCGTATCTCTTGGTGCATGCTCTAGGTCGTTATTCAGGCTGTTCACCACCAGTAAAATATTGCGAAATTTCGGTTGGCTGCGGTGATTTAAGTCGTCCTTGGATATTTGACGTTTTAACTACATTTTCGCATAATACTGAGCACGTTACAGACTTCCAAACTCGACTTAAAAATTTCCCATGGCTTCAAAAGAATCAGATCAGACAAGATATGCGTTATCGATTTTTGGCGGGATTCAAGCGGGAAATACCACCAATCATTGATAATTATTCAGCTGATGAAGCCGTTGTTTTCCTATTTGAATTGCCGCATTATGCAATTTATGCAATGTTCAGAGAATTTTCTTTAAGTGATAATGGAGATCCAACTATCATATTCAAGCAGCAAGTAGAAGACCTTCAGAAAATGAAGAAGGAAAGCCAAGATATTAAAGGTTTCTACCATTGGGTTGTCGGTCTAGATTTATGTGGTGATGAATTAGGACATCCTTATTGCCCTTTCATAGCTCATGAGTTTATCAAGTTTGTCCAAGAGATTCGAAGAGAAAAAAGAACAAAGAATTTTGGCATACGTATTCATGCCGGAGAAAATGTACCTTTCGTTCGTCCCGAATTGCCTGGTTATCGTCTATTTGTTGCGCATATGTATATTCTTTTCCGTTGCATTCACTTTCTCAAAATGAAGCTAGGGAAAAACATTCGTGTCGGTCACGGTGTTGCTTTTGATAAACTATTATCTATCGAAAATTATAAATACCGGAAATCTAGCATACTTGTAGCGGAAATGAAAAGATATGCTAAGTCAGTATTTTCAGATATTCCTTTCGAGGTAAATATAACTAGTAATTTATATCTCCTTGGTGACGCTGTTAGAAATGCAGTACAGGAGGAACCTCTATCTCACTTGCGCGCTGTTAATGTTAAAATTCTTCTATCTACCGATAACGACGGAATATGGCCTATTGATAAGTGCGACTCACTAGAGGAATCGTCTGATTCTGCGCAGCATTCTGTAGATCATCCTGCACCTCAGTTTGTGAATCATTCTGCGCATTATTCTTTGGCAGCAGAATATTGCGATGCAATTAAGAGTCATTTTATCTCGACAAAAATACAATTAGATACCATGATTGATGATTCGAAGAAATACCGCTTCTGTAATAGGTCCGAGTCCGCGAGCAGTTGTGATGGTATAAAAAGAGATTATTTTCCTGCTGATGTCATAGTACACCCAAATGTTTTAGATATGCTTTTCAAAAAGGAATTATCTCCCATTGTAGAGTCATATCATTTTTTGAAATATTATGAAAATATTTATAAAACACAAGATTTTCCTACAACAAACAACAATATCAATTATAGGAAATACTATTATGAAGTTGCAATGCGTATTTTAATGGCATGCTTCTATCTAAGACGCTCATTGTCTTATCAAGACTTTGAGAAAGAGTACGAGAAGTTAAGTAAGACCCACCAAAATTGTAAAACTGATTACAAAGATTTGTTCAGCGAGAAAGGATGTATAAAAGTGTATACAGCATGTAAACATGTCTATTTGACACTAATGAATGATGCACAGGATGAAGGCGCAAATTTGAAAGTAAGCATTGATGACAGAGATTATTTATTTTGTTCTGAAATACCAAATGAGCGTAAAACTGCGCCTTATTTATTGAGCACAATAGAAACTTTCATCAGAGAATGCCCTAAGCCGGCCACAATATTCAGTTTTATTTCGAATATCGATGACGATAGTCAAGAAATGAAGACGACCCTCGACACTATCAATAGAAAAATCGAAGAAAAACCTGAAATTAAAATTTTTATCCACACAAATACAAAAAAAGATATGGTTTATCCTAGTATTAAAAATAGGAATATAATTATTAATGCTACACCTGAGCAACGCACAGATGCAGAAGAGGAAGAAATTGAATGTGTACTACTCTATGCTGTTTGTCCACATGGCAGCGTCGCAACTTGTGCCCTAAATTTTATTGCAAAACATATCCATAAAGAGTCGTTTTCCATCGAGCAATAACATGCAGATCTTCGTTCACTAATTATTAGGGGTTGCCATTTCACTTAATTTACAGTGTTAAGTGAAAACTTAAAACTTAATATTAAGTATTAAGTTTTAAGTTTTAAAGGAAAAACTTAATACTTAATATTAAGTGCTAAGTTTTTCCTTTGCAGCAGCACAAATTTTTTTCCAAAAGAACTCAAAACATCAGTAGATATTCTTTCATCTTTAGCGGTGGGTTGGAATCCCCTCGAGAACCCTACGAACGATCCAACTTAGTATCCATATAGTGAGTGGGTTAAATCAATACTTAAGATTGGTAAAGAAAACCTTAATCAGGCATTTCCGGAAGAGCCATGTACATGTGAAGGATTCTTAATGAAATTTTTATCTGACGCAAAACATCGAATCTGGTTTGCACATACTGTCGACCGCTGGTGTGGTGTGATCGAGGATCCAAATAGTGGAATAGATTAACAAAATAATTTAGATTCCTTTGTGAATTACCTGAAGGACAGTGGTAAAACAAAGGAGTTCATATAGTTATTAGATGACGATATGCGACATAAACTCAGAAATAGATAGCAAATAGATGTTATAAAGAAACCTAAAGCGAACCAGCACCTAGAAAAAATTTGCAGGCAACTGAGCGATTCTTAAACAACAAACCATCTTAATAATATCAGCGGTGATGGTTGAGATATTTTTTATTTCTTTGCCCATATAAAACCAATCATAAATCTATTTTGAGAAGTTTGAAAACTCTTTTTGCCAAGATCAATCTACTTAGTTTTAGTTTCATGTAGTAGATATTTCTTATATGGTTTCGTACGTAGATGCTGTTCCTTGTTCTTTGACGAAATCGAAATTTACATAACGATCCTCAACATATTATTAACTTGTTCACGTTTCTTTTCCTTTTACATTTTCTTAAAAATTAGTGTTAATTATTGTCATGTGTTTATTTGCTTTTATTGTATAACTTGGTAGAAGGAATTGCTGATGTTACCCGACATTGCCTTCCGCTAATTGAATGTTTTCTTGTTTTTTTTTTTGACTTTTTACGGTGTCTTTTGTGTTTTAATTATTTGAGATTATTCTAATCTTCATGATTTTATTATTCTATATTTTAAATTCTCTTACAGTATCAATAAATATGGTTGTTTCCAACTTTCATCAATTACTTTTATTAGACTCCCTGAAATTTGGGTGTAGGTGTGGGTGTGGCTCTGTGGGTGTGACTGTGGGGGTGTGGCTGTGCGGGTGTGGGGATTGGGTGGATAGGGCGTGACAGTCGATATGCTTCTACTAATAAATACTATGGGCTTTGTTCAAGAAGGACCGATGGATTATTCACCGAAAACTTTCATACCAATTCGTCTGGCATCTCGGTGCTACAAGACGGGGCGTGCATCTGTTTTTAGAATCTGTGTAAGTGGCACCATGAATATGTTATGTTTCGGAGTAGGGTGAAAGTTGCGGCTAGAAATGGCACTCACATGTACACGCTTATTCACAAGCACATCCACATCCCACATCTTGCGAGTTCGGTGTCTTCTACTCTGACACCAACCCTTAACTGTGAAAATTGTTCCATTAGTCTCCAAGAATAGTAAAACTCAACTTTGATCGAAAATAAAAATACGGGTGAAGGTGATGCTGAGGTTGGTCGAGATTCTTACTCTCATAAATTGTCATTTTCGACACTGTTATTTTTCGCCGTTTTAACTTTGGGCGTTTTTACTTTCTACCAAAGTTTAGACAATCTATGAAATTTTTGCATCATAGTCAACAGAGAAATCCTAGAATCTTCTGATACGAGAGAAATTTTAGTTTACAATAGTACAAAAGTCCAACATAATATGAGAAATCTTTTCAATATTTGCAGAATATAGATAAATAATAAAAGTGCATATATTCATGACAAGAAACGTATTTAACTGATAAATCGATTTCTCTAATGTCCAGGACGACTGTTTTTCAATTAATTTGAGTTGTCATTTATTAAAGAAGTATTGGATAATATAGATGGTTTATTATAATACATATCCCAAACGGATTTCACTGGAACATGATACGAAGGTCGTATGTAACAATGGTCATAGCCAAATGCACTGGGCCCCACATATTTGAGAGCCTCTTGTGTAACCATTGGTTCAGGTGCTGGTAGCACGAGTACTGAGACACGACATCCGTATTTGACAGTTTCTGTAGAAAATGGCTCACCCGAATCCTGTTCAACGAGCGTGATCAGATCAGGTACACTGGCAAGTACTTCTTTGTCTTCGAATCGAGCCACCAAATTTTCATTTTGAAAATCGATTATTACCATTCTTCCTTCGACATCGATTATTACATGGCCTCGAACAAAACCAGAACTAGTGTTCCGTTCCACACCGACTACTTTTCCATCTGAAACGATAATTCGGCCATTGCCAGCTTCAGCAACTGCTTGAATAGCATTAGTATGATGACTGAATTTAGCTTTTCCTATTCACACATATTCTTTCATTCAATTCATCGATAAAAGTCTCTAATACTTACCGAGAAACCAAGCTAACGAAAGACTATGATGCACTGTGTACTTTTGTACTTCGTCAGCTGTCTGTGGTGGTAGACACAGTCCACCCCTAAGACCCATCTTTGTACATTCCTTTCTTAGTGTCTCCTCAAGCTGTTGTGCATTTCCTATTGTTTCTTTTGTATACAGTACTGTACGTCCATGAACACTGCATAAACAGGTAGGTGTAACACTTTGACCTCGAATGAATGATAGCTTCTGATCGAGTCGAGGAAAGGCTCTTCCCATGTTGTCACAGTCGACGCATGGCACTTGTTTGCTTGCTGCCACCAATAAACCACGTAATCCATTCGCACCACCGATTTCTCCGCAGAATACAGCTGTAACTTTTCTAGAAAGATATTCTTCGACACGACCAATCGCCAAGAGACATTCCATGCCACTTGGTAACTGCTCATAAGATACAGTTGGTGCACCCATGAAACCAATACTAGCGACCAGATCCAATGATGGATGAAGAGAAAAAGGAGATATTACACGCATTACACCATTGCAGTTCTTCAGCATTTCCAGACACGACAATTTTGTATGATAAGGTTCACCACCACCGCCACAACCTAAAATATTATCCGTCTTTTTCTATCAATCTTTTTAAAATCTCTACTGATTCTATCTGACATAGTCTTGAAAAACTAATCGATAATAGACTATTACAATCTGAAGGAACTATAGAAAAATAAGTTACCAAGAATGCCAACTCCATAAGCGATATATTCAATATCAATTGAATCGATGATCCAAAAGCCATGTTCATCAAACGTAGGCTGTTTGTTGACCATATTCATATATTTTGATGGCTTAGATGATTGCGGTTTTCCTAGTGGAACTTCTGGCAAAAGTTGCTGTTCTCCACTTTGTTGATGATGTCCTCTGAGTTTGAAAAGATCGAGCTGTCCGATAGCAGTCAAAAATACGCGATGCTTATATCCGCCTGGATAATAAGCCAACGGTACTTGTTCGATGTCGACTAAGTGAATTGTATTTGGATGAGCCCCCTTTTGTTCACATTGCTGTTGAACTAGCAATGTTAATCGATCGATTTCATGCTTTCGTTGTACTCCATCGTCGATTGAGGATGGAACAAGGTCAACGATTGATTCAACCGTAGCGCTCACTCGACAAAGAGCAGCACCCACAGCATTACAGACCGAATAGTGAGGTGGACGAATCATCTTCGAAAGAGCGAAAACAATCTGTGCATATAAAAACAAATACGTTAATCATACCTGTGTGACACCATCGAATGTTTGTTTTGGATTCACGAGAATTGATCCTCCGCCACATAAAATGACAGGTATGGGCTCTTCGTTGGTCTTCATTCGATCGATGCCTCTACTGATTGTATTTTTGATATGGTCGATCACTTGGTCGACAATGAACGACGGTAATTGCACAGTAGAATGACCAATCTGAAATTCAAAATATAAATATAACTTTCTACAGAAACTAATAGTACAAACCTGAGAAGTCAGTTTTGCAGCTAACGCTACATCTGTGCCGGTAATAATTTCACCACCAAAAGCCAATGCTTGTGTTACTAACTGATAGCCGACACTATCCGGACCGACACATACTGATCCAGTTTCCTTATCAACATGTATAACTGTGCCACCTCCCAATGGTAGCGAAAGTACATCAGGCATGCTCATATTGACACGAATATCATCAACCAGATATACTTTCTATTTATAAAATAAGATTATCGGTTCGAAATCTATAAAACAAAACACTGTCTAACCGCATGTGTGTGTCTTGGTCTTCCATTGACGATCACTCCGATATCAGTCGATGTTCCTCCCACATCAATCACTATTCCGTTTTGAATACCGGTCAGATGTGCTGCACCGATCATTGAGTTTGTCGAACCACTAGCAAATGTAAGAACAGGAAACCGAATACATTGATCGATGGATAACAAAGTTCCATTGTTTTGAGTGAGAAACACAGGTATTCCATCAGGAATGGCTTTCTCTAATGCTTTCATAGTGCGAAGAGCCAGTGGGCGAAGACATGCATTGAGAATCGATACATTTTCGCGTTCGATTAAGCCTAGGCCAGCAATTTCATGTGAAACAGTAATGAATGCATCCGATGATTCTTCGCGAATGATCTCAGCAACACGTTCTTCTTGATCGGGTCGACATGGAGAGAAAACACCACAAACACAGAACGAATTAATATCAGATGTAAGAGCTTGACGAACGAGTGAACGAATTTCTTCTTCGTCCAATGGAGCGATAGGCGAACCATCAAAGAAATAGCCACCAGAAACAAGTGCTGTCAAACCATCCACCTAAATAAATTAAAGAGTGGTGCGTGCGACCTCAATAACTCGACTACGACAGCACTTAGCCACCTGTGGTTTTAAGCAATCGAAAGAGGATATTGCTGCATATTTTTATATGTAATATTTTTGAAGACAAAATCATCCTGAGTACTGTTATTTATGGAAATCATTCGTAAAACACATGAAAAAAGTCAAAGTAATGGCATGAAATTTTGATTTCAGTATTCATATGTGATAGAGACGAACTTTGAAATTTACGCCTTGTATATTAAACTCAAATACTCAACAACTGATATTCTTATTTTGAGTAAGCCACACTGAGCTTCAATGGGTCATCTAGATAACTATTTGAAGTTCCATGAAACTTGCCAAAAATAAGCAAATCAGTGGTTGAGTGTTTGAATTTAATATAGAAGGCGTAGATTTCAACATTTATCTCTATCGCATATGAATAGTTATTTGAGTTATAAGATTGCAATAGTCTAGTGTAACAAGAGTTTCGGATTCATTTAAAGATTCAAATATGTCACCTGTATCTTCAAATCATCTGGCCAATTAGACATGGGTCGAAGTGAATGCGTAGCTGGTCCGCACAGGCGTAGAGTACACACTCGGGTAAGGCTTTGGCGTTGAATAAGAGCGTTGATAAAATGAGTAGTACCAACCATGATAGCGGCCACTTCATGGTCCTGAAGAACCTGCCGAATGGAGTGCAGAACACTCGAGAATACATCTGAACTTGTTGTTGACTTATTAGTAGCCACCACTTCAGGTGCTTTTTGAATCAATACATAAACAAAAAAAGAAATATTATAACGAAGAAGAGAAAATACAGGCTATCAGCATACCCTGATTCGGCGGAATATGTAACAGGACGGCATCTAGAGAAAACACTTAAATATGGATCTGTTTCACTGCTAGAAATATGACTCTAACCTGTATTTGTGCCCCCCTCATCGACACCAATGACGTACATTGTAGTATACGATTGTTTTATCGTGAAATAAATCGAAAGGGTAAGGTATCTTTTTATTGCTTTAAAAACAATTCATCTATCCCTAGAGAAGCTGTATGAATAATAGTGAAACATTTTTCTCATAAACTCTTCATTTCACCTTTTACATATTATTAACTCAACAAAAGACTCTATACGATAAGATTGCATGAAAAAGTATATTGTCCTACATATTTTATTGTAGTGGATTTTATTTGGGTGTGGGTATGGGTATGGGTGTGGGTGTGGGTGTGGGTATGGGTGCGGGTGTGGGTGTGGGTGTGGGTGTGGGTGTGGGTGTGGGTGTGGGTGTGGGTTGGTGTGGTAGTCTTCCCTTCACTCACCCGCCACACGCACACCCACACCCACACGCACACGCACACCCACACCCACACCCACACCCAAAATATAGTGTATTATAGGATCGATTTTCAAAAAAATAGGAAATATAGTCCTACTAAGAAGCCAGGCTACGACTCAATCAATGGGGCAGCAAAAATATGAATATTAAGTAAACTCAATAATTCAATTTTATTCATTAAAATATAACGCAATACTATTTTTACACACAAGTAGTTTTAAAAGGTGAAATTGAACAGCAAATCATTTTGGTTGAGTTAAGAAATTCGACATGAAGAATATTTTTTATGCATCCAAACAAAAAAGAAGCTCTAGCGCCATTTTCATACTCTCAAGTGAGTAATGGTATTTTTTTAAAAGGGAAAATATATGATGATTCATTTGATTTATATCGAGTAGCAGACTTTTAGGTATTCATATAACCAATCGTGAATCATAGGGTCTTAATGCTACCGTATTTTTCGCATGCATTTATACTCTATATACGTTGATACGACGTATACTGGTATTTAAGGAGCGAAAGAAAAATTAGTTGGTTTATTACTTTGATAGGATCACAACATATATTCGTCTAAAGACTTAGCTGCGTGAAATATGAATACCTTCTCTTGCTTATGTATAAGTATACTTTTTTCTACGATAGCAGCATTTTTTCCTCATCCAGCGATGCGATTTGGTGCTCAAGCTGAAGGCAGTGAGTAACATTATTTTATAATTTGAACATCATTATTATTTGATTTTCAACGTAGGTATAACGCATACAGAAATAGTTCAACTCGGTTTTATGCGAAGTCTCGCACAATATTTTCTTGATACTCAAAATGGAAGTAAAATTAAACCGGATGATCTTAGACAAGAAAATACGTTGGATGAACTGTTCCGAATAGTTCATCTTAATTGGAAGAGTGAGCAAGTAAAATTAAATACTTTTCCATTGAAACTTGCTATTGACACGATCCAAGTGCAAAATGCTCTAGTTGATCTTGAAGCAGCAACAAAAGATTTGCCCACAGCCCATTTCGATGCGGAAGCATTTGTAGCGAGCAATCGTCGAGTAATGGACTTAAGAAAGAAAGGTAGTCCATCAATGATTAGTTCAATTTAATGAATCATTGATTTTCTTTTTAGTTATTGNCAACTTATGATATTAGTGATTTGGTCAACAAACAACCTAAAGCATCTAAAGGTTTGCGATCGGCATTAATCGGCAATGATAAAATGACCAAGAAAAAGAGACTTGGTCAACGTCGATTTCGTTGGATATTATAATATAATAGAACTTTCTCATGCCAATGCTTTATGTTCTTATATGAATATTGTTAGCATTTTTCGAAAATAAACGAAGATGAAAGTTTAAGTTTAAATATAAGTTTCATGATCTATTAGAGAGTTAGATCAACAACATAGTTCTTCTTGCAACAAATAACTTTTTTCAACTACTTACTTCAAAAAAGATGAACGTCAATGTCGTTTTCATTCAGAATATACATACTATGAACTCTATTAATTTTAGGCACAATTACCATCAAAATATAGCTGCTTTTGTGCCAACGATTACCTAATTTTCAATTGATCACGATGAGAACGACTCGATGTAGATTAAGAAATCTTGAGTGCAACAAAGAGTGTTTTTTTTATTTAATATCGGAGTGTTCTAGCAAAAATTTTGTTTTTGTTGGCATTGCAGAAGGATTAAGTTTTCATAAATATAAAATAAGCGTAAATATTTGCACGTTTATTGCAGCCCATGTTGCCAGAGAAAACTGTGTACATACTACTTTAATGGTGTAATATTACCAACAAATGATCGCATTTGGTTTTTGCAAATATTGACAGAAAATTTATTCACAAAAATATATGAACTGATCATGTCAAATTTCTACAATTCACAAAAATGAAAATGCATTTTATGCAGAAAAACTAATATCGTGAATTTATATTCAGTAGTCGAAGGATTAAGCTTAGAACATAATTTGGCATGATATAAAATCACAACTGCTAGTTGGCTTCGATCTGGATGTGTGGGTGAAATGCAGATTATGGGAACTCGTGACACCCACCCACACCCCGCCCTCCGTCGAATTTGAACTGATTTGAACGTTCAGGAGCCAAAATCCACTTTTGAGGAGGAGGTTTAACAAGAATGTAACAGTAGAATTCTAAAGGTCCTGAGGGTGTGGGTGTGTAGGAAGCTACCACGACGCGTTTCAACTGATGCTCAATCAGTCTCATCAGGTGGCTTAAGGTCTTCAAATTCGATTCAAAAATTCAAAACAAAATTTTGAACAAAAAATCAAATAAAGACAACTTGACACTGTCCTAATTCAAGACGAACTAGAATGATCAAGGTAACCAATAACCATTGAAGGTATTGGGTGTTTAGAATGAATTTTTTAGATTCAAAGCACCTTACGACGCGTTTCGACTGTTGCTTAGACAGTCAATCTTCAGGTAAGTTCAGAATCTAAATAACTGCATATCGATCAATAACAATTAAGTAAAAATTAAATAAAAATCAAAGTGAATTGATTTCCAATAAAATTTTCAACAAAACTTATTAAAGATCACTACTATCCAAAGATAATAGACATCGCAGTTCTAAACAATGAGTGTGGGTGTGTGAATAAGCTGCCATGACTAGTTTCGACTATTGCTTAGATAGTCTCATCAGATGGCTTAAAATTATTCTGAATTATTCATAATAAAAAATTCAAAACAAATTTTGTTATATCTTCAAGAATTTACAAATTTATCTTAAACAATAATAATGTAATAGAAGAAACAATTCACAAAGCATTATTCTGGTGATGATGGTTGGGGATTGAATGTTATAGTTGTCATTTCATATGTTTTCGTTGCGTTCATCTGGTTGGTTGTATTTCGGTTGGTTAGTTAATGCTGTCGTTCTAGTTGATATTAGTAGTAGTATTGTTTTATTTCAAATGAAGCAGATTGAACGAGTAATGATGTTCTGATATTGTAGTTGGTTCCCTGTGTCATTATTAAGTCTTGAGAAATCTCGATTGTTTGTAGTTCTTTTATCTGAAACAGAAAAGAAATCAAGCTTCAAATAGTTGTTTATATTCGGTTTTTGTTTTAGATTGTTTTTGTTTAAATGTTTTTTGTATAATCTGAAGCTGAATGTTATTTCATAGGTTAAGTTGAAAGAAAATTCTAAAGTAGTAGTAGAATGAAACGAGTCATTTTTAGTTATTCATATTTTGTGGTGACTTGAAGACTGATGTATTATGTTTTCGATAGTGATAATTGATGGTTGGTGGGATCAGATGTATTTTCTTTTCTTGATTGTTTCTTTTTTCTTTGTCGTTCTAGAACAGTGGAATAAATTGAAATATTGTGTTTCGGTTAATCTATGTTGATTTCTACTTCAGATGACTTACTTTTGAATGGCTTATTGGTAAGTAAGGATTTTTTTGGTCGTTTACAAATGAGTTCATTTTTTTCCGAACGACGATTCTTATTGCCAACAATTAATTTAACGTCGGCAGCAGGTGTATCTTTGAATATATTATCATAGCCTTTATGCATATCTGATTTAAATGTTTGAAATCGTTTTTCATGTGTATAATGGACGATTAATTTATTGCCACTGGTATGTTCTTTCTTGTTTCGCTCATGAACAGTTGATGTTGTTGTTGTTGTTGTTGTGGTTGTCGGTTCGTTCTCTGGTTCATCGGTCTGATCATTGTCAATGTCGGCGGTTGCTGCACTTAATGATACTTGTGATTGACGAGCAGTCGGTATATTAAGTAGCTTATTGCGCATAGTTACAAATTGAGCTTCGTTATCAATAAACGGTAAAAATGACGACGAATTTATATATTCAGAAAAAAAATTCCGAAATTGTTTGTCAATGAACGATGATGGATATCTAAATAGTATTTTCTATGTATAAGAAGAAAATCTAATGAAAAATATTTACCCATTGTACAATAGAGTTAACTTAATATAGATTCGTTCGTTATTGAATATTTCAAATGTTGATGAATTTCTTAGAGCACGTGTAAGACTTGTTTTTATAACATTGACGAATGTATGTCTTGGATGATCAGATATAAATGGTACAACATAAGG